CCAGCAGAGGCCGAAGGCCTCCTCCATTCGCTCTTTTTAACGACGCTAGCGCGCTCTGTGAGCGACGTGGGGGAGAAGATCGTGCACGAAGTGACTCGGGCATGGCTTCGACGTGCACACGACGTGGGAGCGGCAGAGAGCAGGTGAGATTTGATGATTTTTTTTTTCTCTTTTTTTGTTACAGCGTACGGGTCAACAGATATTCAACAAAGTCGGCTGAGATATTTTGCTAAGCTTTTCAATAAAAATTATGTGAAATTAATTAAATTTAGTGACCTTAGCACCCTAAATGAAAAATTTTTTTTATTTTAATTGATGTATTAGTAAAATCAAAGTTAGAGAGGCAAAAAATAAAGTGTGAAAAAGCTGTTGGACTTGATAATATTCTAATAGAGGTGTGGAAATGATTAGGGGATGAAAGAATTTATTGGTTTGCTAATTTTTTTAATATTATTTTGAAGATTAAAAAGATACCGGATGAGTGGAGAATGAGCGTGTTGATTCCTATTTTTAAGAATAAAGGTGATGCACAAGATTGTTGGAATTATAGAGGAATTAAGTTAATGTGTCATTCTCTAAAACTATGGGAGAGAGTTTTTGAACATAGGTTATGACGTGATACTAATGTTTCTCAAAATCAATTTGGATTCATGCCAGGTAGGTCTACTGTGGAAGTTATACATTAATTGAGATGTTTGATGGAGAAGTATAGAGAGAATAAGGAGGATCTACATATGATATTTATTGATTTAGAGAAAGCATTTGATAAAATTCAAAGATAACTATTATGGAGAGTTCTAGAAAAGAAAAGGGCTAATAGTGCTTATATTTAAGTCATTAAGGATATGTATGCAGGAGCTATTACTTGTGTTTCAAACACAAGGTGGTTTGCCCGGTTATTTTCCTATTTTAATTGTATTACATCAAGGATCAGCGTTAAGCCCATATTTTTTGCTTTAGTCATGGATGTTCTCACTAGATATTTGCAAGAAGTTGTATCATGGTATATGTTTTTTTTATGATGATATTCTTCATATTGATAAGTCTAGAGAGGGAGTTGAAGGTGAACTTGAATTATGGATGTCAGTTTTAGAGTCTAAAGTTTTTCGTTTGAGTAGATCTAAAATCGTATATATTGAGTATAATTTTAGTTGTAATAGAACTAGTGGGGAGATTACGACTTTGGGCGATCAAGTCATTAATAAGAGTACATTTTAGATATCTTGGGTCTATTGTTCAGAGTGATGGTGAAATAGATGGGGATATTATTAGTATAATTCAAGTTGGATGGTTGAAGTGGAGGAATGCATTGGGCTTGTTGTTGTGATAGAAAAGTCCCCCTCAAACTTAAGGGAAAATTCTATAAGATGGTGGTGAAATGCTTTATGGTGTAGAATGTTGGCCATTAAAAGAGAACCATAATATTAAGTTAATTATTGCAGAGATGAGGATGCATAGGTGGATCAGTGGCTTTACTCTTAGAGACATGATACCAAATGAGCATATGCGTGAAAGGTTGGAGTAGCTCTAGTGGAAGATAATATTAGAGAGAGTCGTCTTAGATTGTTTGGTCATATAAAATAACGATCTTCCAATGACCCGGTTAGGTGAGAAGATGTATTAGATTTGGGTTATTTTAAGAAAATTAGAGGTAGATCTAAAAAGACTTGGCTAGCAAATAATAGAAATGACATTTCTTTCTTAGATTTAAATGAGAATTTGACTCTTAATATGATATAATGGAGAAAAATGATTTATGTAGCCGACCCACGTAGTAAGATAAATGCTTGTTGTTGTTGTTGTATTCATCTATTCTCTCATGACATCTTTCCAATTCTTTTTTTTAAATGCCACATATAATTTTTGGAATTTTAATTGTGCTGAAGTTGATATTTATAAGGAAGGCTTTATTTGTAGGAGAATTTTTTTTAAAGGATGTGCATTGGGTTATGGGATAAGAGAAGAATGTGTGATAATGGATTGATCATTGTTATGGTAGTTACCTTACAATGGTTCTGAGTCTTGAACTTGCTAGAGGCTTTGGATGGGCTTAACTCTCCTTTAGATCTTAAGAGGTTTAGTGATATGAATAATGAGTTGTTCTTTCATTTAGTTCTTCTCCTCTAAAGATAAGTTTGAGTGAAGTCATTTTATTTTATTTTATCAGAAGTAATATTTTTTTTATTTGAAGAATTCAGTGATAGTCTGATGATAATTCTTATACCATTTTTTAGTTGATGAATATCCAAAAAAATACTCTCAAATGCTATAGAATAAAGTTTATCTCGGTGTTGTTTATAGATGTGAACATTTGGCACAACCAAAAATTATCTTTGAGGGAATATTCAATAAAATAGTTAGGGGGCTTTTGAAATCAATCACTCTTAAGTAGGAGTGCAAATGAGCCAAGTGCTCGTTTGTTTTCAACTCGTTTAAATATATGATTTTTCATGTTTGATGTTCAAAATTGTTGGTAATTATCTTTTTTGGGTTTGGTTTGTTTTAATGTGATTGATCTTGTTCAAGCTAGTGATTCGCTCAAATTGATTTTGAAAATTTAGAATTTTTTTTTATATAAGAAAACCTTCAAAACTAAGGGTTGTAATATTCTTTAATTTTCTTAAAAACTTATTATATTTTTTTTAGATGAGCAAATGACCTCTACATGTGTAACTGCCCAAAATTCCACATGGCCCTCATGTCAAATGCTCTGTTGCTTAAGGAAGCAAGGCTATATAAGAAGGTTGGGTTCTTTATTGTTTATAAAGAGTAACTAGGGTTCTTTAAATAATGTGTGACTAAATAAATAGAGCTTTCTCAGAGGCAATAGGCTGATCATGTGGCTTTTATATGGGTCACATACGTGTTCACTTATATGGGCCACATACATGAGACATTCTCTTATAAGGGCCACATATATTAGGATTTTTTTCTTCGCATATAATATTCAATATGTCCAAATAAAGTTATATCCAAAGCAAACTATATTAAAAATATATAATAAAAAATGAAAAAAATTGAATTCAATTTATATATTATTTATTTGTTTCGAGCTTAAAATGACATGAACATGATCGAATAAAGGTGCGTTCGTGTTCGGCTTGTTTGCAAGTTAAGCTCAAATAATTTGCTCATGTTTGGCTTGTTTACTTAATGAATGAATCGAACATGAGCTTTATAGATTGCCAAACACAATCTGTCAGTGAATTACTAGCATTTTTCGTAGTCCTACTTTTAATGGTATTCTATAATTAGTATATGGAGGTTAGGACAACTTCTCCTCAATATCCTTTTGGGGAATTGATCTTAGAAGGGAAGGGTCCTCATAAATTCGAGTAGGTGTCAATGTTTTCTTTTGTCACCTCATTCTGCTATGAGATGTTATGGTAGGAGGATATCTGAATAATACTCTTTTTTATTGAAAAAATAAGTTATGATTTGATTAAAATAATATCAAGCTTATTTTCTTAGTCGTAACACCAAATTGATTTTATATCATAGCAATAAATATTTGAAGAATATGAGTGATATTAAATTTATGTTTTATAAGATATACCTTTGTATTCAAGTGCAATCATCAATCAATGTGATAAATCTAGATTTAGAAATGTTAGGGATTTTTTAAGGTCCCTTAATATTAGAGTCAATTAACATAAAATGAGTTGATTTGGATATGATATTTAGTAATTGAACAATACTCATAATTGAAAATTTCATTGTTAAAATTTACAAAAAGAGAAGGAAACATTCATCGTAGGATTTTGAAGGAGGGATGCTCTAGTTTACATTGAAGTAGCTAGATAAGTGATTGTTATCTTCAAATAGGTATATCTTTTTTTTTTCCTTTTGCTTGCTCAATTATTTTCCTCTTAGCCAGGTCTTGAAATACATAATGATTATTAAAAATTTTAATTTACTGGTGATTTTATGAATAAATAAAATATTTATTGCAATATTAGTTACAAATAGCACATTGTTGAGATTAAATGTAGGAGAAATAGATATATTCTCTTGTTCTGCAACTGTTGTTATGGTGCCATTGACTAATTTTATTTTTCCATTGCTTAGGATAAGATTTATAGGTTTAGAAAATGTTGGTAACGTTTATCATATGAACAATGGCTCCTAGATTTAACATCTATTTTTTAGGGAATTATTTGAGGTATTAAATGTTTAAGAATTAGAATTTGTGTCATTTTAAGTTAGTGAGCATAGCTAAAAGATTTTTCAAGGGAGTTGAGGATGTTCCTTAATTTGTCCTGAGCCGCACTCTTTTAATTCAATAAGTACTGAGTACCGAGCAGTACTGAGCAGTACCGAGCTCGGTACCGAGTAGGAGGTGATGTGACGCATTTTCATTGGGCTCCGAACACGTCCGGTGTCCGAACCCAATAATTTGCCCAATTTCAGATCCCACTCTTGTGACTAATTTGAGGATTGATGGGTTCTTTTTGTTATCGTATCTGCAGCTTTTTCAATTCTACGCACCTCTCGCAACAGAGTATTCAACAATTTTATTTTCCTTTGCATAGCTGCACCTTTACGCCTAATTTTTTTAATGCTTCATTTGGGACAACTTTCTTCCTGCTTTCTAAATCAGCTTTTTAGTGCAAAAATATTGCGAACTAAAAATTTTTTGTATTATAAAGTTGTTTCAGAAATTAGTAAAAAAGCTGTCCCAAAAGAAGCCTTAGTCAACAATGGTTGAACTTCAAACTATTTGTACAACTTAGGCTTCGTTTGGGACGGCTTTTTTATTGCTTCTTAAAACACCTTTTTGATACAAGAAATAAAATTTTGATATTAAAAAACTGCTTTTAGAAGCAATAAGAAAGTCACCCCAAACTAAGCCTTGGTCCCAAATTTCTAGTAGAAAGGCTAATAAAATTTTCATCAAAATCAATTTCCATCATATTTTTAGTTTCATCAAATGTATATATATAATTCTTTTTGCCATTTTTTTTGTGGTTGAGTGTTCTAATTGAATGTTATGGCATTAGATACAGTTGTGATGATGAGGAAGAGCGCGCAAGTCGTCGCTCCATCAGAGGATGCTCGCGCACTGCTTTGTGCAAAGGTTGCACTCTCTGCGTCTGCTTTGGTTGTGAGATCTGTCGCTTCCCAGATTGCGCTTGTCAGACTTGCATTGATTTTGTTAACAACTCACCAAAGTGACTGAAACACTTCTTTCAGTGAGAGCCTTTTGTTATCAACATTCAGAAAATTATCATCAATGTCTGTTAATCTGCTCAGTATAGACACTTAAATTTTGTTCGGAATAGTTTTTTAAAGCAGTTTTTTAATATAAAAATTTATTGAATTAGAAAATTTTATATTAGAAAATTGTTTTAGAAAACAGTAAAAAAGCCGCAATCGATATCAAGTGAAAAGAGAGATTTTGGCTTGTTTCTTACGCTGGTTTGGTGGTAAGAACTGAGAAGTTTTGTAGGATAATTTGGATTTGAAATGTTTGGGGTGGCGTTTGCTGAAAGTTATAAAGTTGGTTCTTTGATTACCTTTTTGTGTTATATGAGAATAGAATTTATAAATTTAAATTTCTTTTATAGTAAGAATATTATATTTTTAATTCATTACCCTTAAATATGTAATTAATTTGGCTCGTGTGAAGTTTCATTATAAAATATAATTAATTCGGCTTTATTATAATTTAATTATGGCTCAAACTCAGATATTAAAAATATAATATATTCAACTAATGTAAAGCTTATTCGTATTATAAATGTGGTATAATAACATTTGAGTGAAAATACAAAATAGGCATATTTATTATCACTAGCAAATAATACTGAATATTTTTATTAACAAATTATTGATATCTTAGTAAATATATTCATTGAGATAACTCTCATATGATATAATAAATAAATTTATAATCATTATTGAATAATAAATAATGAATAATAAATAAATTTTCATTGAATATCTATTTTTAATTTAGTGTTGACATATCTCTAGATATTCTCAAATGTGACATCTATAACTAATTCCAATAATTTAACCTTAACAAGCTGACTAAAAAATAATAATAAATATTATTTTTGCCAAATAAGTATTATTATTAAAATTTTATAGGCCACAACTATTAAATTTAACAAATATTCATTATTTCAAATGAAAATTGAAATATAAAATAGCCTATATATATAGAGACAGAGAGAAAAGAAAATAATCCACATAACTAAAACTGAGAGCAACTTGGCGAGCCTTGAGCAATTAGCTTCAAGGGGAAGCAGCATTGCTTGTTGAGTTGGTTTCGTTTGGAACGGTCTTTTATTGTTTTTTAAAATAATTTTCTAGCACAAAAATATTTAATTAAAAAAATTGTACTAAAAAACTATATTAAGAACCAATATGAAAGCCATCCCAAACCAAGTAGGCTTCATTTAAGACGGTTTTCTTATTATGTTGTAAAATAGATTTCTAAAAAAAAAAACCTTTTAACTTAAAAGATCATAAGATTGAGAGAACTTCACATTGCTGATTAGAGCCAACCACTACTATTGAGCGCTTATATTTTTCTGGACTACAATGTATCTTCAAGGATTCTACAAATAAACCAGTGCAACTTATCAAGAGTGTCACAAAATGGTTTACAAAGGATAGGATCCTTGCAGAGGGTCTATTTTGCAAGGATATAGAGAGATTGATAGATGATTACAATGGTAAGAGGAAAAATAAGACAAATAAGCAGGAAGGCTCCAAAAACTATTAGCAATTTTACAGCCTATAATATGTAATAACTATCCTAGTGCCCAAGAAATTTCTCTTACTTGGAATGGAGCTCGAAATGCAAAATCTCTTGCAAAACATGAGAAGAAAATACAAGAGTTGACAGCCTAATGCAAGATGATGTCTGATGAGTGTCATGAAGTATGAATGCCATTGAAAGCAATAAATGAACTTGATGAATCTACCATCGCTTCATTTAGAGAGTCTATCATGCTCATAAATACAGCTATTAATTAAACATCTTTAAATGAGAAAAATAAAGTAGACCTTAGTACTATGCATAAACCCGAAATCCTTTTAGACAATGCTATGATTAGTTCTAATGAAGGCTTTGGACTTGCATTTGCTCCGACAAATGTGTCAAATTTGCAAATGACAATGTCTGAAAATATTGTGGGTTAAATATTCAAATTTCATCCTCATTGAAAGAATTGGAGTCGACCTGACTTAAATTATAATATGCCTCCTAAAATTTTGCAAAATATAGATATTTCTTAAATGACAATCATGTAATCCCGATGATTGCCGGTTTGAATGTAAATCTCAACTGGAAGTACATTTTTCTTTCAAAATACTAATAAAAATCACAACAAAATACATAAATTTAAAGTGTCTTCAACTTTGCTCCAAATTCCTACGAAAATACAAGCAACTTTGACGCACCACGATGATGGTCAATTTTCAAATGCCTATAAAAAATTTAAAATCTAATCACAAAAACTTAAAACGAAAATCCATCCATTTTATGCAACCATTTTTTGGGGGTGGTAAATGTGAAATTAATCTCAACTCACAAAGAACATATGTCATGTCGGGTGTATCACTATGATTCATCCTCAAACTCTTGCGGGCAGGGACGTGGCACGCGCCCTTTGATCAAGTGATTTTGTAGCGAAATGACACAATTATATTACAATTACGACCAAAGTTCGTATGTTCCGTAATAGCGTCAAACCCTTGAGTAATGAATCATAAGATATATTTGATAGGCGTAAAATAATATGTCAGCTAAGATGAATTCAGATCTATCCCTTTAGATAGACACCACCCTAGGTCTATAAGGTATTCTTGGACGAAACAACTCATGACTATCGATAAGGTGACTTCTGTCAAATTGGGTCGCCTACCTCCTATGAATAAGCAGACTAGGGACCATGACAGCCAAGGGAAATGAAACCATTGGATCTTGATCGGGCTCATCTTCATTCCCCCCATCCACTGTTTTATGTTTGTGGTGATAAACTTCAAAATTAAATTTCAAATTCAAATAACAAAACTGTTGCTATTATATGCTGAGTTTGAAACCTATGCAACCTATCTTACGACTAGCCTTAATTGAAAGTTCTCTCTCGATATCGAGAGGGATAATTAACTATAGAGGCTTCCGCTTATAGGAAACTCGAACTAAGATCATAAAGTCCTCACAAAATGAGGCCGAAATCTCTGGGTAGTGTCTAATCTAAAACTCAATCTTCCTTCTAAAAATTTACCCTGAAACCTAAACTCGTTAAAACTCTTCTCGCCTGCATAAAACAAAAAGAAAGAGCCAACACAGAGAGGCCGCGGCACAAAATTTTTGGAGCCCACACCCATTACCTTCATAATAGTTTTTAATTTGCCCTTCTTGTTATTGTAAGAACATATATAATAATTGTTTTGATTTGATACAATCTTTGAAGTAAAATCACTAAATGGATATGCAACCAAGCAATGTTTATCATTGTAATGTGTTATAATTATTGGATTAAACTCTTCTATATCATAGTAATCAGTTTATACTGTTGTATCCATATTATAATTTATTGTGTTATAATTATTGTGATAACACTCAATAATTTTATAACCGCTTGATTACATAATATTGTATCTATCTTATAATGAATTAAGTTATGGCTCTTATGATTGCACTTTGATGTATCAACCTTGTAGTTTATTGTATTAAAAATATTGAAATGCATTTTGTTGTATCTAATTTAGATAAACTACCTTTGAACCATATTCAGACAAGATTCAAACTTTATTCGAATAGTGTTGAAAGTATTAAAACTCAATATGTACATTATTGCACCCTGTTCGAATAAGATTTGAACATAATTTAAACATTGCTCCAATATGATTCCAACTTTTTTCGAACCTTGTTCAAGGCTAAATTGCTCATGGCAGACTTTAAATAACTGTTCCATAGTGAAAAACAAGGGTATTTTGGTCCAAAATGAATTTTTTGGACATATTTATCCAAATAAATAAATAAATAAAAGACCTATTTATTTAAATACGACTATTATGAAGCACATAAAGTCAAATTTTCCAAATCAAAAGATTATAATCAAAGATAAATGAGGCAAATATATCTCGTCGCAATAAAGACATTCGATGTAGATATAAATGAGGTAAGTGATACATCTTTAACTTATGATGAAGAATATGATGTGTTATTTGAGCTTAATGTTACATTTTATAAAATCAAGATGAGATACAAAATCCTCTAGAAAAAACATGCAAATTTAGACAATCATTTTCAAGATTTTAAAAAAGGATTATGATAGAAACAAATCTTGAAATATAGATTACTTATTGGATTTAAAATTATGTTGAATTGTTATTTATTTGTATTGTCATTATTTGCTTATTATTATGATAGTTTGTCTTTCAATTTAATGATATTTCATATTCATACTTATTATTTTATAATTCTTTTATAATTTGCGCCATGTTCAAAATGGCGCGAGCCGCGCCGTGCGCTATGCGTCATGGCTCAAATAGGACCTTTGCGCCATGGTGCGCCATTCGCCGTTAACAAGTATGAATATCAAGGCAAAAGTAGATATGTTATCAAGAAGATCAATGGCTAGGATGAAGAAACATAACAAATCCATGACACTGGATAGGATGCATGATATACCACACTTTGATCACACTCACAAATAAAGGCCAATGCCATATTCTAACACAAATGTAAGATGCAACTCATGTTTGACATTTGGACATGTTTCTAGAGATTATAGAGGTGGAACTAATGCTTATTCACATTCCATATTGATAAAAAATTAATCATAGCAAATCCAACTTTCTTTGGTCACCAAAATTTGAAGGTTAACAGTTTTTTGGCTAGGTTTACCTTCAAATCAAGATCAATGGAGGCAAGTAGTACCTAGAGAACAAATGCGTAAGGAATATGAAAGGAGATCATTCAAAGTTCACAATGATGGAACCTAATGGTTATATATATGTGTTATTCAGCTATACCCAAAAAAAAAAAAAAAAAAATCAATTGATTTGACATCATCAATAAGAATTTTATAAAAAAGATCCTAGATTGCTAAACAAGTTAATCAATATTAATGAATTATGTGATAAAAGTTACAATGTTAGTTTTCTTCATCAAAATATTAATTAAATTCAACAAAAAACATTCAATAGTCGGGGCAAAACAAAGAGAAGGGGATTGAGGGTGCAATGGGGTACTTTGAAGTTATTTAAAAAGTAATCAATTCAAATCCTTACAATAGGCATTAATGGAATCTAAATAAGATTACAATAAAAATACAATGTGAAATTTAAAAATATGATAATTAAACAACCAAATTAATATGATATTGTATACAAATGTGGTTAACATAGCCATTCTCAGGTGAATCAGGTCTCAAGTTCTGGATGAGAAAAATGGAGGGTTATGTTAGGTAGTTAACAATAAGCGTAAAATTTGTCCAATAATCATGACATAAATTATTTAATACATTGTATTAATGCTAGGACGTTCCCTGGAAGCAACGCGCAGCATGACTTGAATATAGTGACAAGTGTGTAAGGTAGCTGCACCAACCCCCGGGTGTAGTGTTAAATAGGCAAGGATTCCCAAATCATAGATGAATGTGGGTAAAGAAGCTAGTTCAACAACAACAACAACAACATCAAGCCTTTATCCCACTACGTGGGGTCAGCTACATGAATCATTTTTCTCCATTGTGTCCTATTAAAGGTCAAATTCTCGTTTAAATATAATAAAGAAAGGTCATTCCTAATATTTTCTAACCAGGTCTTTTTAGGTCTGCCTCTATCTTTCTTAACATAAGTCAAATCTAATATCTCTACTCTCCTAACCGGGTCATTGGAAGGCTGCCGTTTTATTTGACCAAACCATCTAAGGCGACTCTCTCTAATCTTAACTTCTATTGGAGCTACTCCAACCTTTTCATGTATATGCTCATTTCGTATCCTATCTCTAAGGGTAAAGCCACTCATCCACCTGAGCATCCTCATCTCTGCTACACTTAACTTAATATTATGCTTCTCTTTTAATGGCCAACATTCAGCACCATAAAGCATTGCAGGCCTCACTACCATCTTATAGAATTTTTCCTTAAGTTTGAGGGGTACTTTTCTATCACACAACAAGCCCGATGCATTCCTCCATTCAACCATCCAACTTGAATTTTGCTGATAATATCCTCATCTATTTCACCATCGCTCTGAGCAATAGATCAAAGATATCTAAAACATTAACTCTTATTAATGACTTGATCGCCCAAAGTCACAATCCCCTCACTAGGTCTATTACTACTAAAATTCACTCCATATATTCTGTTTTAGATCTACTCAAGCGAAAACCTTTAGTCTCTAATGTTGACCTCCATAATTCAAGTTTTCTTTCAACTCCCTCTCTAGTCTTATCAACAAGAAGTTAGTCCATGAAACTAAAATTATAATATGAACTTTGAATATATATACCCTTATAGGCAAATTAATAAAATTAATATATATTATGATTTATAGGAAAATAAATATTATATGCATTCAAAAAACTAAATGGGTTGGAGAGAAGACTAATGAGATTGATAGTTTAGGATTTAAAATATGATATTATGGTAAGAGTCATACTAGAAATGGTGGTGTGATTATAAATAAGAGTTTAAAGGATAATATTATAAAAATTAATAGAATTATAAATTTACATATTGTTGTTGATATTAAGATTATTAATATTATAAGTACTTATACGCATCAAGTAGGTTTGAATATGAGTTCGAAATTAAATTTTGGAATAGATTAGAAGAATTAATATAAAATATATCTCTTGAAGAAGAAACAAAATTTATTGGATGAGATTTAAATGGACATGTTTGCAGGAAGGTAGATGATTTCAAAATCATTCATAATGGTTATAGGTTTGGAGTGACTAAAAAAGATGGTAAAATCATATTAGATTTTTCTTAAGCTTATAATTTTATAATTGCTAATATGTTATTTAATAAAAGAGATGAACATCTCATTACTTATAAGAATGGATCTAGTAAAACTCATATTGATTATTTTTTTATAAAAAAATAGATTGTTTAGATTACAAAGATTGTAAAGTTATTCCAAGTTAAAGTTTATATGCCCAACACCGTTTATTAGTTTTAAACTTTAAGATAAATGAGAAAAAAAATTAAAAATAAAGTAAAACATTATTCTAGGATTAGATGGGGTATTTAAAAAATATTAACAAAAAATATTTTTGAGAGTAAGAAACTATATTTTAAGATTTTGTCTGTACATGAGAAAGCTAATGTTATTTGGGAAAAAGTAATTAGTGATATTAAAAATCTTATAAAAAATGTGTTTGGACTTTGGAGTATCAAAAGAAAATCTCTTAGTAGTAAAAATAGTTGGTGGTTGAATCAAAATGTGTAAGAAAAGATTAAAAAAAAAGATTTATTATAAAAATTAATTTATATATAAAAATTCAAATAATTGGAAAAGATATAAAAAAGCCAGTAAGGAGTCTAAGAAAGCAATATGCGATGCAAAGATTTTTTTCTTTTAATGATTTATATAATATATTACATACTAAGAAGGATGAAATATATATGTAAGAGTTAGCAAAACATAGAGATAAGAGTAGTAAAGATTTAATTCAAGTGAAGTGTATTAAGTATGAAGATCAAAAAGTGCTTTTATTAGTAAATGATATCAACAAATATGGATGAGATATTTTTATAAACTTTTTAGTGAAGAACTGAAGATTATGAGAATGTGATTGACTTTAGTGATCTTAGCACTCTAAATAAAAATAAAGATTTTTGTTTTTATCGACGTATTAGTAAAACTGAAGTTAGAGATGCTTTAAAGAAAATGAAGTATGAAAAAACTGTTGAACCTGATGATATTCCAATAGAGGTATGGAAATGCCTAGAAGATGAAGAAATTTCTTGTCTTACTAAGCTTTTTAATATTATTTTGAAGACTAAAAAGATGTCAGATGAGTGAAGAATGAGTGTGTTGATTCCTATTTTTAAGAATAAAGGTGATGCACGGGATTGTTTGAATTATAGAGGAATTAAGTTAATGTGTCATACCTTAAAACTATGGGAGAGAGTTATTGAGCATGGGTTGCAGCGTGATACTAATGTTTCTCAAAATCAATTTGGATTAATGCTGGATATGTCTACTATGGAAGCTATACGTACATTTATTGAGAGGTTTGATGGAGAAGGTAGATGGGGATATTATTAGTAGAATTCAAGTTGGATGGTTGAAATGGAAGAATACATCGGGCATGTTGTGTGATAGAAAAGTCCCCCAAACTTGAGGGAAAAATCTATAAGATGGTGGTTAGACCAACTATATAGTAAGCTTCAGGTTCTTCTTCATCCATTCTTGTTGAGTGTTATATATAGTGTTAATTAAATTGTTCTTTATGCGAAGTTACTAGTACATAGTTATTGCTCTAGAAAGACAGGCATGCATAAATGCCTAAAAAACCGTGAAACAAATGGAATTGAAGTTTAAACTAATAACACAAAATATGGATATGCAGTTATGATGAACAAATATGAAAAAAAAAAAAAGTGTTATACCAGTATGCATTTAATAAGTGCTCTTTTTCCAACCATCCACAAATTATGGAGCTAGAAGGCTATGGAACAAATACATAGGTGATTAGTCCAAAGAACAAAAGGAGTGCGAAGGACTCCTTTCACCAATGAAAACAAGCCATGCAAGGAAGCATGGTATGTCAAGGCAATTAGTTTGAAAAAAAATGCAATTCATACAGCAAATAATTGTTGTTACTAATTAGTTATAAGGCGCATAAATCGACATAACTTATTCCGACTTTTCCGAGCTCTAGAAATTTCAATGATTAAGGAACTGAATAACATGCATGTTGTATTATATCCCATCAATTTCAAACCAAACTTATTGCATATCAAAGACAATTTACTCCTAAAATCTCCATTAACTAATTGTACCTGGAGTGCCTGTTCTCGGGATAAGATGACATAGAGATGCAAGGGCTGATTGCATAGATCTGATAATTGTAGACTTTGTACTGTGTCTTCATTCACATTCTTGCCAAATTCAATACTCATCAGTCCAGTTGCTTTTGGGTCATCAGCTGTGGAAGGATCAGAGATAAACAAAAAGTTTCCGAATGCTAAATCAGGTTCTCTAAACAAATCTGTAAGAATCTCACTACAAAATCTCAAACTCTTTTGCAAAGGCTTTTTTGGTTCATTTTTATCAGACTTCCTACTCTGCCATGTATGAAGAATTCTTGACGCCTCTCTTAGGCCACTCAAGAAAGCACCATGCATTGTTGCTGGATGATGCCTATTCGTTGCTTCTCCTGCAAAGAAGAGGCTCCCACTTACACTTTCAGCAAGAATATCATAGTCTCCACCAGATGAGCCAACTCTAATGTGAGAGTAGGATCCATGACAGAGGGGGTCACAACCCCATTTTGTGCAAATTGTTTGTATAGGATCAGGCACCTCAATACCTCGTGGCCTATATATACCTGCATTTCCATTCATGATCTTTCAGGATTGGATATGATTCTTACTGGGTTTAAAGTTTAAACTTCACATCAGCTGAAGTTTAGCAATTAAATACAATAGATAATTATGAAGTAAATGAACAACCATAGATAACAAATCTCAAGAATTATATTATATTTTCCTAATTATATTGTAAACATTTTGCATGTAGATGAAAATGCACATACACACTACAGGAAAATCAACTATTACCGGCAGTAATTCTGGTGGTCAAATAACTGCCGGCATTGCCGGCGGTTTAACCGGCTGTCTGACCGCCACTATTAACCGGCGGTTTACCTGGCGGTGTTTAATAATAAACCGCCGAAAAACCAGCAGTAAATTCCAAAACCGTCGGAAACTTTATACTAAACGCCGGAAAAAGCCGCTGCTAATTGACAATTTTCCTGTAGTGACATGCGTATAAACAAATACAACAACAAACGAACATGTTCCAATGAATGTATTAAAACAAATCAAATTTTACTTTAATTCTTTAAGAAAATGCATCAACTGCAAAAGCTCGTGACGATGAAGAATTGTCTTTTAAAAATCTTTTTACACAATATTTACCATTTTATTTCATGCTATTTACATATCTAATACCTAAAACTTTAATATTTCATTTCATTCATCCATATTTATTCTATGGATGGTAGGCATGTAATATTAAAGTTCTAGATATTAGGTATGTAAATAGCATGAAATAAACTGGTATGTATGTAAATCTCCCTTCTATATATCCTTACAGGTTTCCTTTTTTGCATGAAAAGGATTTCTAATTAACAGAAAACTATTTTCTTCACTTAAAAAAACAATCTAATTTACCAAAGACTGTAATTTACCTTCACTTAAAAAAAACAACAACTCTTATTTGTCAAGTGAAATTGATACACCATTACATGGTTACAGGAATTAAATGAAGGTAAACAGGCATTAAGAATCATAATTAATATTACAAAGGTACCTCTAAGAACACCAAGAACATTATGAAGCAAAGCAACTGGATCAGTGTGCTCAAAAGTCAATGCAGCCTTTCCCGCCACCAATGCAGTGAGAAGAGGACCTCCTGAGACTGTATGATAGCAATAAAACAGAAAGAATTCACCTCGTTTTTCTCTATCTTTGTTCAGACAACCAAATGTGTCAAGTTCCTCCCCCCAAAAGACATATGGAAACAGCATTGCAACTTTGTTAAGCAACCCAAAACCCAATCTTTTTATAGCACTAAGTTTCTGAGATGGTAGTTCAGGATCAAATTTGATGCTTTCATTCTTGAGGACACCAAGAGGCACAGTGCAAAGCACCATATCTGCCCGAAAAACCTGACCTCCAGCAACCACCATCTCTACACCAGAATCTCCATAATGGATCCTTGTAACTGTCTTCCTGTAGAGTATTGGGACATCCTCACACAGTGCATTGATCAATCTCCAATTTCCCCCAGCAAGGAAGCAGTGGTCACCATCCATCTCGAAGGGATCATCTTGATCCCAATGAGCTAGAGATAGATCTGAAAGGCAGCCAGCATTGGCATACTCCAAATTTGCGAGATGCCAATCAAGCAGCTCTCTTTCATCTTCACTCCTCGCAACACTATAAAGCTTCCGGAGCTTCTCAATGGCTGAACCAAGTGAAATTCCTTCACCAGACTCTCCAAGTGCTTTCCTCGCCTCTGTGGCCTTCTCAAGTAGCTTATTGAATACAGAATTCACCCCAGTATCCAATTTCTCATCAACAACTCTACCATTTGGCCAATATAAAGGGCAACTATCCCTAATCTTGTGAAGCGGAATTCCCAACTGCCTCGCCAAGACCCCAAGCGGATTCGCGTGGATTCCGGTTATGACGCTGCCGCCGAGATCAACGACGGCAAAATTCCCAGTCTTCCCGATTTTCGAAGTGTAAACCCTTCCGCCCGGACGATCCCTGCCTTCTAGAACCAACACCTTGAATCCAAAACCAAGTAACTGTCGTGCCGCGGCAAGGCCAGCGAGACCAGCGCCGACGATGATGACTGATCCGCACTCATGCACGTCTGGGAAATGGGAGTGTACGGCATGCGAGACACCGAAATTGATGTAACCCTGCTCAGAGAGGAAGTCGTACGCGGCAGAGATGAGGTGATCGTAGTCGCTGTGGACGGTTTCACGAATCTGGGACTTGAAGAGCCAGGAGCGGACGTTGGCGCGCCAGCGAGCAAGGATGTGGTTGCGAACAACGACGTAGTCGTTCTGCTCGCCGGGTGAGGATAGGACGCCGGCGGCGAGTTCGGAGTCTAGGAGAGCGTCGATAGGGAACCCTAGGGAGAGGGCGATCATGGCCTCCGTTTTAGTCTCCTTTTGCCGCTCCTCCAAGGTCCTGTTGCGCTTCCGGGAGCTTTCGAGATGGTCCTCAAAGAGACCGTCTAGGGCTGACTCATCGTATGTACGAGTTTTCAAAGCGGACGCGCGTTGTGAGCGGCGGCGCTCCGCCGCCGGAGGCGGCGTATTCATCTGTAGGGTTTAGGAAATCGTTTGAGAAAGGAGATGGGAGTGCGGTCACCACCCAGAGAACAGTAAGGTGAGCGGTGAGCGGGAGATTGTGGGACCCGCATAGCCCATTGCGCCCAGACGTGCAGTTGTCGGGTGACGCTGGAAGCCTTGAATCGGCCTTTTTTTGTAAGAGTGGTCTGATCTTTCTGGTTTATGTAGCGGTAATTTGTTGGCGGGTAGCAAACTAACTCGCCCATCGCCCATCGCCCATCGGCCATCACCCATAGCCCATCGGCAAGGGCAAATTATTGCATCAGGTCACCTGATAGAGAGATGCGTTCGGTCTCTCTCTGTCTACAGTAACCTGCGCTTTACTGTAGCAGTGCTTTGCGTTGAGGCGCGGGATAACTGATATTTTTTTTTATATAAAATGATAATAATAATAATAAATAGATTGAAATTTTTTACTTAATTTTTATCAAAATTATCTTTAAAATTGATAAATGTTAAAAAAAGTTTTTTATAATTTTTTTTGGGAATTTTGATATTTATTTACTTTTATGCATGAATATTGATACATCATCAAAAAATTATCTTGATTTGGCACAAATCTCGAGGCAAAATAGTTCGAAACTTTCAAAATTAAAATTGGGATCATCCGAACTCCGATTTTAGCAAACTTATAGTCAAACTGAATGTCTAGGAAATATGAACCCAAAGACAACAAATTTGACTCAATCCGAGCCCCAATGGATCCAAATCAAGGACCTGAAACGCTGTTGAAAGGTTCAAATCACAATTTGGATTATCAAACGGTTTCCAAACATAATATTCTTATAATTGAATCGAGCGGCTCGAAGAGACGAATCCAACGAGCCCAAGAGCAAGGGATTCAATATTGGTCGTCCATCCAAACCACTCCCTATTTACCCTTGAAATTCTCCATATTTACGAGTCATGCCACTTTATGAAATATATAAATAGACTCATCCTTGCTGTTGAAAAGTGTGAAACCCTTATGTTTGAAAAAAAAAAATTGCGCTGTTAGTACGGGACGAACCGTCTGTACGAACTGAAGAAATGTTGAAAATCTGTATGGTTAGTACGTACGAACTGCCAGTACGAATAGAGAAAATATGCATATTCGTCTGTACGAACCTGGAAGGGTCGGGACGAACCCAGACAGAGAGTTTCGTCCAGGTACGAAGAAATTGGAATTTATTTTCATCTCGACTATTGAGTCCAGAGAAGATCGTTCCGGGACGAATTGGGACATCGTTCGGGACGATCCTGCTTAATAAATATCTGAATAGTGCCGATTTTGAAGGGAACACAAGCCGAGGAGAGAGAAAACCGTGGAAAGAAGAAGAAAAGTAGATTTTTGGGCGACTTCGACTCGTTTTCGTCCGTCGCCGTAGTTCGAAAAGTTGATCGACTCGAAGTAAGGCACATTCCGCCTTTCTCAATTTTCAGAAATGTGGATTTTGACGATTTTTCTGTTCCGGATTTTGTTTCCGTTAGTGAATTTCTGGTATTATTTTCTTCTGACAAAGGTTTTACCGCGTAATTTTTGGTATGTTTTTGAGATGATAATTATGCACGTTTTGAGTATTTTCTGGAAAATTTTTACCGGATATTTTGAATTCTGCGGCGTTTTAATTAAATTACAAATTATCAGGATGTTGAAAAATGTTACTTCAGTACATTAAAAGTCTTATAATGTTGTTGTGGATATTCTGTGGTAATTTGGTAAATTTTTGAATCTGTGAATTTTGTGTAAATTCCGTATACTGCCGTTATGCCGCTGATTTTTCGTACGAATTCAGATTTTTCTGAATTGATTCATTGAATGAATTGAAGTGTTTGTATGCTATCAGAAGGGAGTTATAAGGGGCCAGGATCCTTTGAGATTCTGTCTGTGTCAGGAAAATCTGAAATGAGCTCTAAAATATGAAAACAAGTTCTGTTTCGAAATTCCGAATATCTGTTCTGTTCTGTTCTGGTGCTATAAGCACAAAGGGAGGCATAAGGGGTCATAATTCGTTAATATTCTGTTAGTGTCTGGGAAGGGAGGCATAAGGGGTCAGAATCCGTTGAGATTCTGTTAGGGTCAGGGAATCTGATATGAATTATCTAATATGAATGTGATTTTATCTGATTTTTTATTTATGTACGATTCTGGTTATTCCGTACGATTCTGTCTGCTCTGTGACATAAAAGCTTTATGATATCTGTTCTGAACTATGATTTGAAATGACTTCCATTTTCTATATCAGTTGTTTGATTTCTGTTGATCAAGTATCTGTTCTGTCTGTTCTACGATTTCTGTACGGCTATTTTCTGATGTGAATTTCTGATGATTTAGATTGCTTAGTGATGTCATGCTGAGCTGTGTTAGCTCATCCTTATTTTCTACGTGGTTTTCAGGTTCTGGGAAAGGGAATGAGGTTTTGGACTAGAAGTTCTGTGTCTGATCTGAGATTAGGTATTTTGTACTTTTGATTTTTGTACAGTCATGGTTTTTCTGTTCTGTTATGTTATTTCTGTCTGAAGCCATGAATTGTATTGTATATAATTATTTTGATGAAAGAAAAGATAGATGAACTGTTATGTATTTGGATGTTTATAGTAACTCTGTGTTTTTCTGTCTATTTAATATTTGGAAGAAAGTTCTTAAGTAAATTCCAAAGCTAGATCATGGATTTTCAACAGTTGTGTCGCGGCCCGATGCGAGCGGGATCCGTCCCGGTCAGGTTGGGTCGTGACAAAAAGGAACCCCCGAAGCCTATGCAAGAGAGAGATCGGAGATTGCTTTTGCCCCTAGCTCCTCCTCGACCACCGCCTGGAGTTCTGCAGGACCACCACTTGACACCAAAGTTCCGCCGGACCACAACCTGAGGCCAGGAGTTCCGCCAGACCATCACCTGATGTCGAAGTTCCGTCGGACCACCATCTGAGGCCCGGAGTTCCGTTAGACCACCACTTGAGGTTCAAAGTTTCACCGAACCACCACTTGAGGCCCAGAGTTTGGCTCAACCACCACCTAACGCCAGAGTTCGACCGGACCACCACTTGAGGCTCGAAGTTCTGTCGGACCATCACCTGAAGCCGGAGTTCAGTCAGACCACCACCTGAGGCTCGGAGTTCCGTTGGACCACCACTTGAGGCCTAGAGTTCCGCCGGACCACCGCTTGAGGCCCGAATTTCTGCCAGACCACCACATGACGTCGGAGTTCCGCCGGACCACCACTTGAGGCTCAGAGTTCCGTCGGACCACCACCTAACATCAGAGTTCTGCCGTGCCACCACTTGATTCCCGGATTTCCACCAGACCACCACTTGAGGCTTGGATTTCCGCCATACCCACTTGACGTTGGAGTTTCACCGGACCACTGTGTGATGCTAGGCAACTTTTGAACCACCACCAGAGTACCAACAGACGCCTGAACTTCCAAGTGACATCGGACTCCGGCTGGACCACCAAGTGACGCATGACTTCCATCTACCCACCCCGACTTTAACCATATGGTTGGCACTTGTAATCTGATCGCCCTCAAGGGCGAGTCAGCGCACTGTAATCTATCCAAACACTAGTGGAATTATTTCAACTAGGCAAGGCCCCGTGGTTTTTTCACTTTCTATGGCTTTTCACGTAAACAAAATCTTGTGTTCTCTGTATGTGAGCTGGATATCCGTACAATGCTATGACGCAATATTATAACTCTATCATCGTGTATATTTTAGTCCGAAACAAATCTAATTTTATTTTATTATATATTGAGAAATTTACATATATATACCACTTTATGTCAGGTTATTTACATTTCTAACCATCAAAATTTTAATATTTCATATCCACCCCCTGTAAATAAAATATGGGTGTCATTAATGAAATATTAAAATTTATAAAATGATATGAGTGATATAAATGAAATATATAAGTTATATATTTGATATTAAAGTTATTTATAGGTGTTATGCAAGAAATATTAAAATTTTGGGTGTTATAAATAAATAATATGGACAAAATTTTTTATATGAACAGGTCTATAAAAAAGGAAGTAAAAAAAACGTAATAAGAACATAATTTAAATAGGAGCAAATACACGATTTAAAATAAAAGTTTCTGCAAAATTGAACTCAAGATTACATTTTCTGAAAAGGGTAGAACTCTTGTACGTTTTCTAAAAAACATAAAAATTTAAATAACGTTTTTTCTTAAAAATATATTAAATTTTTAAAAAAATTAAATAAAATTAAATTTACTTTTTCTCTTTTTTAGTTTTTTTTACACTGTTTCAGTGTTTTGCTTTTTTTTTTTTAATTACAACTTTTTAGTAAATTTAGATAAATTTAATGTTACCTATTTATTGAATATATTTTGATTATTAGATTTTTATATTTAATTAAAAATTAATGAATAAAGAATAAATTTAATTAAACAATAATTTAAAAAAATAAAAGTATTATTTATAAAATTTTAACTTAATTTTTCTAAATATATTAAATATAAATAATTATATCTTATAATTAAATTTTATTCTTACAACATTCTAATAAATTTCTTAAATATTTAAAAAAATTTAAAATTTAATTTCAAAAAGATACTTAAAAGTTATAATTAAAAAATAAGCAAAACAGTATAAATAAAAAAACTGAGAAAAAGTAAAATTTATTTTATTTTATTTTTTAAAACATAATCAGTTTTTATATTTTTTTTAATAAAAGACGTAATTTAAATTTTCATTTTCTTTAGAAAGCGTAAATTTTATTTAAGTGTAAAATTGATTTTCGTTTTCTAAGAAAACGTTATTTTAAATCATGTATTTTCTCCTATTTAAATTATATTTGTATTACTCTAATTTTAGTTATTTTCGCTATAAACTTGCTCTAATTAAAAATAATTAAAAAATAATCTTAAATTTTTAAAATTTAATTGCAAAAAAAAAAAAATTGTCATTTAGAAATATCATATGTAAACTTTTTGAGGTCATTGTTATCAAAATTGGGATATAATATTTTAACCTTTTTTTTTAATTTATTTAACCAGAATGAATTTTAAAATTATTCCAAGACAATTGTAATATAAAAATTAAAAAAAACATCTATATGTTAAACTCATTTTAAAACTAATTTCAATTTTAAAATTTTTATAATTAAGTTTTAATCAAGATATCTATTTTTTTTTTCAACTTTTTCCAATCAAAATTGAAACAGGCCTTAACCATTAAAAAATTTTGTTGGATTTGTTATTTTA